TGCAGAATTTGAGCGGGGCTGGGAGGGACAGAGACAGAGACGGGAAGGGAAAGTATTTCATCACCTAATTCTTCCCAAAGGAGGGTCAAGGATGGGGGTCATTTAGGGCGGCCTATCTCAAGTGCTGTTCGCAGAGGGATGGCCTGGTGTGGGGCTCAGAGAGGCCTCTGGTGGCCTGGGAGGCATGGACAGGGCCACTACCACCCTTGGGTCCGCAGGAGGAGAGGGAGAGGGACGGATCTCCTGGAAGCACTGGCGTTACCTTTGAGGAGTGCGGACGTTTTTCCAGGGACAGCGTTGGCCCCAGGGCACAAGAGTGCACTGAAGCAGCCATCGGCCTCACAGGTCAGCGCTTCCCCAGAGGTCGGTGGGCACAGGGCGGGAGGACAGCTGTGGGGAGGAGGCTGGGGAGGTGTGTGTGCCAGGGACCGCAGGTGCCAGCGTGGCTGGCTTGAGGAGCACCTGCAGAGCTGGTCGGGAGTGACCAGCGTGAGGACAGGGGCGGTGGCCAGGGGCCGAGAGGGGTGGACCTGCCCTCGCTGGGGCTTGGGGTGCACTGAATCGCTGGGGATGGGGTGGAGCAGAAAAGGAGAGGGATTTCTTTCCTGGAGTTGGGACCCTCTCCTCTTCCTGCCCTTGGGCATTGAGCACCAGGCTCTCTGTCCTTGGAGCAGGCTTTCTGACCTGGGACCCGAGGACTCACACTAGGAGCCCCAGGGTTCTCTGTCCCTTGGCCTCAGACTTCGAGTTATACCACCGTGCCCCTCGGTCTGAGGACTTTGGTCTTGGGCTGGTCTGTGCTCCCAGCACTCCTGGGTCTGCAGCTTGCAAGTGGCCGTCAGGGAACTCTCTGGCCCCCTAACTGCTTTGAAACTCCCCCCATAAGTCCAGTCTCAGATGTCCCTATCTTTGTTTCCTGTTGGTTCTTTCTCCTCAGAGGCCCCTGACCACTACCTGCTTGCATGGAGGTAAACGAACAAGTAGGTGGGGGCAAAGCAACAAGCCAGTGGCTGGTGCCAACGCACCCCTCCTCATTGGGCCATCTAATGCAAGCGGGTTCCTCACCCTCTGCAGAGCGTTTGAGCCTAAGATAATGCCTCCCGGGTTCTCCTTCTTCCCCAAGCAAGACCATGGGCTTTCTGGGTCTTGGCTTGGCCATTTTCTAAAACTGATGGAAAACTGGGTGTGGCAGCACAAGCCTATAATTCCAGCACTCAGGAAGCTGAGGCAGGAGGATCACTGTAAGTTTGAGGCCAGCCTGGGCTATGGGCTACATAGTAGCTTCAAGGCCAGCCTAACTACACAGCAAGACCCTGTCTCAAAAACCAAAAATAAATAAATAATCAGATGGAAATACCCAAACCCCGGATAGAGAAGCATAACACAGGCAGATTCAAAGAAGAGGTGACTTTGGAACTGGGCTTTGAAGGGTGAGTATGAGTTTGCTAAATGGGTCAGGGGACAGGGAAGGTGTTCCAGGCCAAGGATAGAGCATTTGCAATGGCCTGTGGACAGGCCTTGGGGGACAGTCAGCTGGTGCCCAGAGTCCAGGAGGGGCAGCAATGACACCATGGGGTGGGGGCTGATTTTTCACATTGTAAATGGACTCTGCCCTCCCCAGAAAGACCCAGAGCCTCACTTTCCTCCCTAGCCTGAGAGGGAGGTCAGAGGCTCTGCAGGCAGGGAGGCTGTGTGCAGAGCAGGTGGAGCCACCGGAAGCAGACTGGGAGCTGCCAGGTGGGGAGAACGGGGCCTGGGTTGGGTTTCTTTATGGGGGCTGAGCTCGCTCTGCAACTGGTGTTAACAGCTGCACGGCCTTGGGAATATGCCCAATGGAGTGCCCACCTGAAAACGGTGGTATTTGCAGCGGGTGAACTATACCTCGACTTTTAAAGAAAGACACCGTGAGGTATCTGGCTGCACGGCCAGGCTGCAGGACGGTTGGAACCTCTGCCCATCTGCACAGTGGCCGTGAACCGCCTGTGCTGACACACCACTCCCACCCAGCCTGGCGCACACCTACCGGGGATCCGCCTGGGATGGGGAAGCGGGGGGCAAGCCGGGCGCCTGCAGCTATCCCCGCTGGGGTCCATGCCCTCACCCTCACGTGTCTGCGCTGCTAAGAGGCTCCTGGGACTCCGGGGGGGAAACCACTCCGGGCCCTGGGAGGCCCTGAAGGGGGCTGCCACCTCCCCCTGGCCGCAGCACAGGCCAGGAAGAGAGACGACAAGGTACAGCGTTAGAGGCCAAAGCAGTAAGAACGGCCCGAAGAGGCAGTTTTCAAACACGTGTGACCCCAGCTCATTTGAGTCTCACAGCACCCGTCATGGAGGTATGATCGCACTGTTCCACATGTGGGGACACGGAGCCCCTGGAAGTTCATCTCCTTGCCCCGCATGACACGGCTAGGAAGAAGACAGGATTCAGAATCGGGCCGGTGCCACATGTGGTTGTGGTTCATGTCCCCGCCCCTCCGGTGTCATATGGGAAGCTCGGCCCCCAGTGCAGCAACAGTAAGAGGTGGCGGGACCTTTAATAGGTCAGGGCCAGCGAGAGGTCACTGGGGTCTGCAACCTTGGGATTGATGTCATCGTTACGGGACCCTGGGGTAGTTCTCTCCTGCTGACCCAGACCTCGTGTGTCACTTGTGATGTCTCCCTCTCACTATGCCACCATCACCATATCAGTTTACAGAGGTCCTCGGCAGAGCAGAGCAGACGCTGACCTCACTCCCTTGAACCCCAGAACTATGAACCAGGGAACCTCTTTCTCTATAAAGTACCCATCCACAGACGTTTCATTATAGCAACAAAAAAGGCACGAGTACACCTGACTTAGTGCCACAGGCTGCGGCCGTGACAATCAGGACTTCAGTGAGACAAGGGAAGTCACAGAAGCTTTGCACTTGGAAATGACAGGCCACCTCAGTGCCCTGAGCCCTGGGGAGGGCGTGTGGGGTGCCCCTCTGTAGGTAGCAGAGTGCACCTAAGAGGTATCTAGGAAACCAGCTAGGGCTCCCAGATGCCCTGCGGCTTGGGCTCCCCCTGTGGATGCTAGGTCCAGACAGCGGACGAAGGCCTGATGATTTCACCTCCACCTGCTCTCACAGCCAGCTGTCCCCATTTCTATGGCCAAAGCCTCTTCAATCTGATGCCCTGCCAAGGCTCTGCCCCTGCCCCTGCCCCACCCAGAGCTATCTGTAGCCCCTCATAAATGACCTGTGCCCCACATCACCATGCCCTCCATGTCTGCAGTGAGCCGAACGGTGACCCCCCAGAAAGAACTGTCCATGTCCTAACCCAGGAACCTGTATAAGTGACCTCATATGGTAAAGGGTGGCTCTCACTTGGATGGCCACAGATGTGGTACCGCTAAGGATTCTGAACGGAGGACCTTATCCTGGGTCATACAAATGCGCCCTAAGCCCAATGACAAATTTCCTCACAGAAACACAGAAGAGGAGACAGATACAAGGACAACAGGAAGATGGGGCCACAAGCCAAGGACACCAGGGGCCACCATAGCTAGAGAGCAGAGTGAAGAACCGCTTCTTCCCTGGAGCCTGCAGGGTGAGGCCCGCTGGCACCTTCACCTTGGCCTTTTGGCCTCCACAGGAGGGGGAGAACTCCTTCCTGTTGTTTCCATTTCTAACTGCAGCCACAGGAAGCCGACAGGCTGCCCTACCTGGAGTGTGTTCCTCTCTGCACAGTCACTGGGAACCCTCCCTCCTGCCTCGGTGGCCCACTGCTCCGCCAAAGGCTTACAACTTGCAGTCCCTTGCCCACGAGCTCCTGGTGGGCAGCACAGTGGCCTGGGCACAGTGTGCTTCCAGGGCCAGGGTACAGTGAGCAGAGGAGGAAAACCACACAGCAAGTCCCAAGGGCTGGCCGCAGGGCAGACAGGAAAGCGAAGGGCAGGCCTAGACCTGGGGAGCATGATGCTTCTCAGAGCAGAAGGGACAGGGAGGGCCCTGTGTAGGACTCTGATTATAACGTGTGTAGGTTCTGTGTCCCCTGGGCAGAGATGGGGGCAGAACCACCCTCTTTCACAGCCACAGACCGGGTTCTGCAGGTCACCTACAGGGCTGCAATGAGCCAGGGACACAGGGACGCAGGCACACACCCAGTCAGTGCCCGGGCAGATTCCTAACTACCGTGTTCACCTTCCCAGGAGCGCAGCGAGGTGTCAGAATAGCTTCACAGCTCGCCCGGGCTGGTGGCAGGGACCAACCTCTGTCCCCAGCCCTCCCTGACCTGCCTCCAAGGCCTGAGACCCTGGCTGAGGCCCGGTCCTTCAGGGGATTTCGAAATCCGCAGCGCCCCAGGCAGCTTCCTACACTGGCCCCGGGGGTCAATATATTCTCCCGGGTCTCCAGCGATTCCCAAGGACGCGCTCATTTAGGGCTCTAGGGAGGCCTCCTCTCTCTGCCCGAGCTGGGCTTGGGGCGGGCACGGTGCCGCGCACCCCGCGCCTCTCGTGCTGGCCTTCTCCGCACCCGCACCTGACTTTGTCAGAGGGCTGCGGAACGGGACCACAATCTGCACCCTTCTTCCTTCTAGGCCGGGTGTTATCCGAGGGCCCCCCTCGGAGCCAGGTACACCTCGAAGTGGCACCCGCAGTGGGAGGGAGGAACCTACCCTTCCACCTCCACAGCGGCACTCGGACCATCGCAGCGAGCCACCCCGCTTCCCGCTCCAGGGAAACCCGCCCCTCCTTTCCCGACGGTTGTCCCCTTTACACGGCGCCGCGCCCTTTTTCTTTCCAGCCTCGCTCTAAGCAGCACTGCTCTCTGCCTCCGCCCATCGCATCAGGACCCCAGGTCCGCGCGGCTGCGGCTGGGCATCCTCCCCCGCCTCCCGCCACCTTGGGGGACGCGCCGGGCCCTAGCATCCTCCTGCCTTTCTGAATCCCCACCGCCCAGGCCACCTCCCCAGCGGCGTCACTGCCCCGCCCGGGGCCTTCCATCGGGGCGCGCTCGGGGCGCACGGGGGTCCCCCGGAGGCCCTCGCCCCAGCCCGCGCTCCTTTGTGCGGCAGGTGGGCTCTGCGTCAAGGCGAGGGCGCACGGCCCCTGTGCGCGCAGCCCGGGCGCGGCG